AAGAAGAGGTAATCAAGCTGTCAAACGGCTGATGAATTGCTGTTCAGACAGTTTAACACAGCCAAGAATCGGAGCTGTTAAGAACAACAAGCTCCCACAGGCTCCCTCCCACCGGAACAATATGGGTGTGATTTTTGAACCCAAGGAGCCTGAGTGCAAGTGGTCACCCTAGCCCTGGAAGGAGCTGCTGTCAGATGGATGGTGACTTTACATGATGCCAATGCACCAGAACTGAGGGACTTTGATCGGTTCATGATGGCTCTGTGACGACGATTCGAGGACCCCTTTGCAGATCGCAAAGCACGCGACCGCATTAAAGTTGTGAAGCAGGGACGCCGGCCAGTGGCAGAGTATACCGAAGAATTCCGAGACCTGGCATGTCATGTGAACTGGCTAGAGGATATCCTGTTAAGCTCGTTCAACGATGGGCTGAGTGATGAACTCTACAATGCTTGTGTAGCTTGAGGTGCCCCAACCCATCTACATGAGTGGTATCTTATTGCTGAAGAGGCAGAGATCGACATGGCCAGAAATCAGTATCGGGCAGGATGAATGTGGAATAAATCCCCACCCCAATGGAAACAAGAACCTTTTAAACCTCAAATGACAACTTCTCCGAAATCCTTAGTCTGTTTCAAGTATGGAAAAGAAGGGCACTGAGCTACAGAATGCCATTCTCAGGCACTAGCTAAGAAACAAGATCACCCATTGGGGGGAAAACCTACGAAACCTGGTCAGCGTGGAAAGGAGATGGCCCTGAGGAGCAGGGAGACCGTAGAATTTCCACCCCCTCCCTTCTTTCAGGAGGAAACCTGGCTTCGCAGGAGGAACCATACTCATCTGGAAGCAATCCAGAGAATGAACCACTGGTAAGCAAACCACTTAAACCGCTTACCTTGCCCCTGAGACTATTTATCCCCAACTGGGAGAGGGGGATGAAAATCTCAGCTTTAGTGGACTCGGGGTGCATCCGCTGTTTGATCAGCCCAACCCTAATAAGGAAGTTGAGGATTAATGTAAGGAAACTGAAAAGCCCCATAGCTTTTTGCCAACTAGATGGGTCAATAGCAGGGGGGAGCCAGCTTCATTTATAGTGGCACCTGCCACGGAATGGACACTAGTTCTGGGTCTTGCATGGCTGAAAAAAATGGAATCCCAAAATTAATTGGAAGCAAGGCACCATAAGAGTGCAGATGCACATGACTTTTGCTGAGAATCCAGACAGAGAAACTGAGGGGGCAGAGCACCTAGAAACAGCAATACCTGCTTACACTATGCCAACCCAAGACATACACAAAGAATATAAGGACTTGGCTGAGATTTTTAGTGAAAACTCATCTGATGAGCTTCCACCTCACCGCTCCACTGACTGTGTGATAGAAATCCTACCTGGAGCCAAACTCCCTAAACCCAAGATGTATAGCATGTCTCCAAGGGAGCTGGAAGAATTGAGGGCATTCATTGAAGAAAACCTAGCAAGAGGTTCATTGAACAGCCCGACCAAAAGTTGCAGCCCCAGTGTTGCTTAGAGAGAAAAAAGATGGCTCCAAATGCTTATGTGTTGATTTTAGAAATTTAAATTCAATCAGTATGGAAAATGTATATCCCCTTCCACTCATGAAGGATATGCTAGCACACTTAGCCAAAGGAAGAATTTTTTCAAAGCTGGATTTAAGGGAGGCTTACTACCATATCATGATTAAGGTGGGAGATCAATGGAAAATGGCATTTAACACCCCTCTTGGATGCTATCAATTCAAAGTGCTACCATTTGGGCTACAAGGAGCCCCTGCAGTATTTATGCAATTAATAAACAAAGTGTTGCAGGAGCATTTATATAAGGGCTGCATAGTCTATATTGATGACATTTTCCATTCATC